ATTTTCCCTTGACAATGTTATGTTTTCATTGTTCAATCAAACCAGTTCTGATTACCTGGGGAATATTAAGCCGGATTGTTGCCAATTTGTTAATCAAATCTCTCAATCAAGCTTTTGATCAACAAAACACTGCATAAAAAAACTTGGATTTCGGAACCCTAAAAAAGAATGCATAAAAATATAATCAACAGTCTTTTTACTATTGTTTACAAACGTACTCCTTGTTTTATGTGTTATTTAGTTATGATTTACTTATTAACTTCTCCCACTACAATTTTCAGTGGTATGCAGTGAACAGTGATTATACAAGTTTGGTACAAGAGATTATGCATGAAACGGCAGTTAAAGAAACCAATAAAGAAAATTTCCTTGCCGGCAAAAAAAAAAACAATAATTTTAACTGGAAATAAAAAAGCTAATAAATGTAGCACGTAAAATAATTACAATATGTATAAGAAGATATTTTGCAAACCAGTGCATTGGTGGGTTTCGCACATATTTTAAAGGTATTAAGCATTGTAATATTTCCACTCCAGTTTAACTTATTATTTACAGCTGATCTTTAAAAATGTAGTGTTATTTATTTATTAACTAAGGATGTCTTAGGGAACACCACACTTTAAAACAGTTAGTTAAGAGTGAACAGGTTAGCTTGTGGTTAGTTTTAACCGATGTTCACGTCAGGTCTACCAACTTTGTGGCCAAAGTTACAACTTGTTCTACAAAGTTTACAGAGTAGTTTCACAGAGGTTAAACAATTAAAACAATTAAGAGAAATGCCACCACCAGAAATGGGCAAAAATAGATTTAGGTACAATGAAGAAAGCACGGCTCTTTAAATAATAACTCCTTGATCAGCATTGTACGTAATATTAAATTTACGGAAAGTAAATAAAAAAACGTCTTATAACACTTAAAAATTTAAGTGTTATAAGACGTTTGTTTTATTTACTTTCCGTAACTTTAAATAATTAAAAATACTTTATTTGCCTTTTGTGGGTATTGACAGAATATTTGGTTAAATTTACTATTGTGTTTGTACAAATGGGGTCACAGAAAAGTAAAATTGTATGTGTAATGTTGCTGTAAAAACAAAAGTTAAATTTTATTGGAAATTATTTTCACAATATGTGACAGCAATATCATAAAGCAGGTGGCTTCCTTGAGATATAAAACGCAATTTCAGAGAGTGGCTACTTGAATTAGAAAATGAGTTATTGCTTGTTTTGTGATATTGTTCTTGATGCTGACGCGGTGTTGGTAGAATCACATACTTGTACTTTCTAAAACCTAATGGAAATAATTCTGATAAATTATCTCACTGTTAGTTTTTACGGACTGACAGTGTTGAAGTGTTTTTTAAGATAAAACACAAAATGATTTGAAAGTCTAATGACCCCTTAGTTGGAAATATTTAAATATTTGTATTAGTTAAATAGTCGGATAAACACAATTTAGACGTTTCCCGTATTTTTGACCGTAAACTCTAGCTACTATTGTTTTAAATGGTGTTATTTATTTCGTTGGGTTCACAAACTGTTATTTTTGTACATGTTATTTACTATTAAACTTATATTATCAATTTCGTTAGTTAATTGAATATGACTAGAAAAGGTTTATAATACTAAAGATAGCTCTAACATATCTGGAGTAAAAAGCTCGATAGGACCATGGACTCACAGTGGTTGGCTTTTTATTCGAATCAGGTTTCTGTTTCTGGAAGATTTGAAAAGTTGTTTCTGTATAGTCGGTATTAAGGCTTGTGAAACCTACGACAATGGATGGTAATTTACACAAAACCCTCATTGTCAGTTGTGGAGCATATACTGACTATTTTAAAATGTTATTTATAGATTATTTAAAGATTATTTTAATAGATTGTTAGTATGGACATTTTTACTTTTACCATAAATTGTGTTATAGTCAGATTGATTTTATGTATAGTTTATTATAATTATTATGATTAATTGAGTTGTTTTGAAAACAGAATTAATTCAATTCTTCACATTTGTTTCTGACACTTGCTCAGCAAAGACCTTATTTATTTATCTTTTAAACGACATAAGCTTAGATAATTATTGAGTTACTTTTACAGCTGAATGTAATGTTGAGTTCATTGTGATCTCCAACAAAATCAAGGAATAGTAAATTCTCCGTGTGAAAACTATTACCGATATAGTAATTCTCACAAATTCTAGTTTGGTCATATGTAGTCTTGATAAAAAAATTATGCGAAAGAAGAAATTCTTTGAATTTGTTTTTTTATTGTTTCCGAAGTTACACAATTCAACGCTTTTTACACCGTCTATGAGGCTTCGAGTGGATTGATCATTATAATTGACTTGCTTGGTACGTATTCCTAAAACATAAAATGCTTTAAAGTGCGGTCTCCTTTAGTTCACCTTCAAGTTCTTTATGATATCTTGATTAAGTTGATTAAGTGTTAAAGTTTAAATGTTGTGTTTTGAGGTAAGAGTTGCGTTTGACATCCTCTTTTTCTGTAGCTTTCAACATTTTTTAAACATCTTGGATATTTAGTCTTTCTTGTGACAAGGGACTTCCGAAAGCAGGTTTTAATTTCCGGAAGTCAGCGGCAATAAGCAATCATCTACGCCACTTTCGGTCCCGGTGTTTTCCTTACATCAATGTAATGGTGAATTATATTTTCATCGAAGATCAATATTTTGGTTTCTACGTCCTAACGAACGTATTGGAATTGTGCTTTGGTAAGAGAATAAAATAAATATTTATTTTTACGAAACAGACAATTTGTTATTTAGTAATATTCTTACTACTGGGACTTAGAAATAAAGTAAAACGTTGATTTCTAGGTTAATATCAATTTATGAAGTTTTAATTTTTTAACGTATCATACCAATCATTATTAATTGTTGCCATACTAAAATTTAACTTAGGATACAACTTTGGGTTGGATTTGAATTAGGATCTCAACTTTAGGATATATACGACTTTACGTTTTTGGACCTGATATTGTACTTATAAGAGCCAAACACCTGTACTCAACAACAGTAGTCTGAAAAAAAAAAAAAAAAAACATTAAGTAACATATACATTAAATAAACTTTGGTATTAATGAAGTCGGTAACCGCTTTTTTACTGATCATACAAAATCAAACTTAAAATTTTAATCTTTTGTTGACACTTCCGAGGTCAATAAGGTGATGTGATCGAAAGAAATAGTGTAGATTTTACTTAGTAATAATGGAAAATATTATCATTACTTTAAAATATCATAGTATTTACTTAAAACCAATTAAATAATTTAATCTGAGTTCTAAACTATGCAACGTTTATTGAAAACCGATGAATTTGCAAATGGAACAAAGTGAGATAAAGATTTATAAACCGCAATTTGTCAGAAATTTCCTGCTGACGGCCACTTGAATTGCAAAACAACTTATTGCCTTTGGCGTGGAAATTTGGAATGCTCAACTTCAAAAACAGCATAAATATATTCTATTGGTTGTACTGCATATGATGTATTCATAATATTAATAAGTATAAATAAGTTTAATACATTTTTTAAGGAGGGACTGTCATAAAGAAAATTAATTACATTGGTGATTAAATAAATATTTTGTATTATATTTAAGTTACAAGTACAATTTCACCGGTTTCATTTTTATCAAATATTTACTAATTTAATACCGTTATTTATTTAATAGTATTAATACATACATTTACAAATAGACACTTCAGAGCAGTATTAAGCGTTTTCATAATCCAGAAAAGTAACATAATATCGTATTTTAATTTTTTTACAAATATATTATATCAGCTTAAGTAGCTTCTACTTTTCCAACGAACAACACACATACGAAATATGCATAGAAAAATATAAAAAAGGAATGTCTGCACCAAACTCATTAACAGTTTTTAGTACAGGTCAAAGTGAAGTTTAGCATTTAAACATTTTCAAAATTACATTTATGGAATATAATATTTAATCTACTTTAATTACTTAAAATGCTGAATAAGTCATCTGAAGATATTTTAGTTGTTAACAATTTTTACTTGTTTGATAATAGAACCATTTCTTTAAGGTTTATAGACATCACTAACAGTAAAAGTAAACCGATTTCAACTATTGCTATCAGGAAAAGTAATATCAACTATTTGATATTCTGTGTGCAAACAAAGTCAACGATTGGTTTGCCATTGTTCAATCAAATCAGGTCTTGTAGCCAGGGAAAATGATTTCAGTGTGATGCCAAAGTATTCATCAGAAATCACATATCGATATAACAGTTTGATGATTTGAATAACAAAAGGGGATTTCGTTTTGCCCCTAGAAAGGTAGTTAGGTTTTTTTTAAAAATTATTTTCATATCCATTCTTTTGAGGGTGTTTATTATTATTCACAGATGTCTATGTCATAAATAATATTATTTTAGTATTAGATAGTAATATAATTTGTCCTAGTAAGGTTTTGAGGTTCACGTATAGTCCACTATTATTCTAACGTAATAATAAAAAAATACATGAATTTCCGAAAAGCAATACTTAATTTCCAAATAAAGTGTTTTATGTATTTTAAACTAACGATTTTGTGAATAACTGTTCAGTACGGTTCTGTAAATAGGGTAATTAGTAGTCTCATCATTAATCATCCTCCTTCTGGAACCAGGAGAGCGTGAGTGTCTACCACGGCAACGAGGGTCTCTATGGAGAGTCCATGTATCATGGGGCGACGGCACACACCCCAGCCGACCCTTGGCACTCGCACTACCAACAGTACCCTGCCGCCGCGCACCACCATAGAGCCGTACATGACTACCACCACCACCATCACCAGCAAATGGCCGGCTACGGAGGTCTACTGCTGCCACCTCACGCACAATACCCCAAGACTATGGATTGGAACCATAGGCTACACCATGACCACAAAATGTTCGAGTTTGGAGTTGATTAGAGTTGAGAAAAACAGTGTCACATACCTTTTTAATGAGAAAATCCAACACTGGAAGATAGCAGGGGGAATGGGGATTGGGTGAGCTCACCACGCTGAGGGACACACAAGAAGACCTGGAAGTTCTGATGCACTGCACACACTCGAAAGGGAAAATTTAGTATTATTATTCACTGATAAAGAGAGAGAGAGAGAGGGGGGGGGGTTTTAATGTGGGGACACTTCCACCACGAGGTGGTCAAAAGACCGAGATTACCATAAAAACGGCGCGGCGTGGCACATACGTCCGATCAAAAATCATGGTGGGGAAATTTGTGTTTTCCATGAGAGGGAAAGAGACAGAGATAGATCACGCCATATGACGTAGGCATCGTATGATTTAGAGGAGAATATGAGGGAGGGGAATTGCCGTGGTGTGTGTGTGTGTGTGAGAGTGGGGTGGAATACATTTTACAGACTTAAAATTAATTTATGCCAAAATGTGCCAATTACGCAAGATACAATTACGTTTAAAGTTAGATATTTGTCACTAAAACTTTAATCAAATCAATAACTCCTTAAATTATATCTAGACTTTAACTTACGAAGCCTGTCATCACGTTAAATGAATTTTATTTTAATTAAAGCTGTCCCTTATTAATAAGTATTAAAATTTGTTGATTTTTATAACAACCAAATACTGTCAATAGCTCTCTTAAGCATTCCTTTACTCTTAAATTTCAATAAACAAACATGTTTACAAAATATTAGTGTTAAACTAAAATGTTAAACTACTACTATTACTTTACCCAAAAGACTGTCCGTCAACAATTAATATGTCTAATAAGAAAGTATACAAACCCGTTGATTAGGGTAGTTTTCTGATACATTTATGGTTTTAGGTATAATTAATAATAATTCCACCTCGATTTCTCATTCTTTAGAAGTGTAGTAAGTATGTCTAAAGCAACATTTGGACATATTTACATATTCTTAGCCTAATAGGCATACTTCTTCAGTTATGTAAGTGCGGCCAAGTTACTTTGTGGTGTGTTTAAACCTCTGCCCAACCCTCGTCAGGGCTGCCAACTTTCCGCGGCTAATGTTACAACTCGTTCTACAAAGTTTACACAGTCATTTCTTTGAGGTCACACAATTACGACCTTTACAAGAAACGCTCCAACCATTAATGGTCCTATGTTTGCTTTAGAATTATGACATAAGTGTTTTATGTAAACTTTAAATAATAATTATTACTTCATATTTGGGTTTTTGGATATTCAAAGCAGGTTTTGCAGCAAGTACTATACTCTATTTAGAAGTGAGATTGTAGACAAGAGAATAAGAAATATGTAGGATATAAAAATGGTAAACAATTAATTATTCTTAGAAATCCCTTTCTCAAAACCGTGACAGCAATATCTTGAAGCGGGTGGCTTTATTGAGTTATAAAACGCAATTTTAGAGAGACTGTACTTGAATTAAAAAATGAGTTATTGCTTGTGTTGAAAAAATGTTCTTGCTGTAGAGGCGGTTGATCAAAACACTTGCTTCTTACAAGTTTATGTCTCTTCAACCATTCGAAATTGAATTATTTGTATTGTCTACTTAAATACAGTTTTTTCCGGTAAACGGTCCTATTTTATGTTCGTATTTTCTGACGTGTTTATGTTATCCTTACGCTAAACATGCTTATTAATGTGAAAGCACCTGCTATATTTTTAATATTTTATATTTAATAGGTTAGACATCGGTTTGGTTTTATTTTTGTAAGCAACATTGGTTTGATCAAAGAAGCTGTTCATAATAGAAATAATTATAAATAGCAATCGCAATAAGCAACCATAAATCATTTGTGGATACAATGTTTAATATTTATAAGATACTAGCTGTAACCCGCGGGCTTTGCCCCATTTAACTTCTTAATTTTGAAGATGATCTCGTTTGCATGGCTCAATCACGTCCTGGTTGAAGTTCGTTCGCTACGCTCACTCACCTTTAGGTTGGAGCTCGTTCGCTGCGCGCACTTTCCTTCAGGTTAGCTCGTTCGCTACGCTCACTTGCCTTCAGGTTAGATCGTTCGCTACGCTCACTCGCCTCCAGGTTGAAGTTCGTTCGCTACGCTCACTCACCTTTTGATTGCAAATTAGCTGTTGTCATAAATGTAAAAGAAATAATAGTGCTAGTGCTGCACCCTGTTGGTAATCCTTGTAACTTTAATGCTATTGAACATCACAGAACAGAACCAATTTGTTCAATTGAAACAGCTGTTAAGATTCAATAATTTCATTTCTCATAAGGTTAACATGGGATGGGAAACTCCAGAGCCACTGGGGCGGAGCCCGAAAGGATTTTTGAAATAAGAATATGCCTATATGTTAATCGGGAATGTGAGCTATCATCATGCCAAATTTCAGCCCAATCCGACCAGTATTTTTCGCGTTTACTTTTCCCATACATACAGCAACCACCTCTTTTTTATAACAGTATAGATATTTTTGAGTTGTTCTATATTTCAGATACTTCAGTTCCAACTCCAGTTATTACCGTTGTAACTGAAGATAACTATTTGCTTATAAAGCTACTTTTTGATCGATTTAAATCATGTCTAAAGCAAAAACGATCAACTAAAAAAAAAAATACCCGTTTAAAATAATTTTATTTTTATTTTGTATTTTGTTGTTGAAGAATGTTTATGAACGCATTTTCTTAAAACAATGTTACAAATCGTGATAAATTAATGAGACCAACAATATTTTAGACCTGAATGTAAAATTTGATGGATAAACTCTGGAAAATAATAACTAGAATGTATTTACATTTAAAATGGATTATGCAGTTTTATCCCAGAAGAGTTAACTTGATAAATTTATTTGATCACTAAATTAATTCTCCCACAGGTTGTGACTAATTATTCTTGTCTGCTAAACTCATGCTATCCATCACTGAATATTAAATTACGTAATAACTTATCTTGGAAACAGGTGGAAAAATATTTTCCATCCGCAGGTCCTGGCGTTGACACAATCGTTAACTTTCGTTGCTGTTAACGAAAATGTCAAAATCAGAAGTACTGAGATGGGAAAGAGCAGTAAACCTTTTTTTCATAAACAAAATGTCAAGCTATTATATTAGATTATATTATAACGTTGGTTTAGTAAACCTTTATTATATACCATAGGTAACAGTCATATTAACCCTTTGAAAATGTATCTGGCACACATAAAAATAATTTTGAATCATTATATATTCTAGAGTAGAAAAACAGTCCCGGTACGCAAAAATATTTTTTGGAAATAATAAAGATCGAAAACTTATAACAAATTTACTGGGCATCACAATCCCAGGTCAGATGATGGTCAGAAGGAAATCTCTAATTTGAACATACGTTGATATCCACATTATATTTGAGGTTTTCATAAGTAGAAAGGAACTCAGCAAACCCAAGCATGAAACAATTACCGGGTCAAAAATTGCAGTTATTCAATATTTCTTGTATTTTAGGATTTTACCAAGAATAACGTTAATTATTAACTAACGTTAAACTATCGTAGGTAGTACAGGTTGCATACTATCAACCTACAACATTAAACATTTACTTCTGACTCCTAGCGGACCGTCCTACATTTCAAGTTTAAGAAATCTTTGAACGAGTGTCAATCTTAAATAGGTTGTGCATTAAAGTTCAAATTTGCAAAATTTCATTTTACTAATGAAGGCGTTTGTATGTACATGTCAACCTGTGCTTACATTTAAGATTTTAATATGACTTCTGAGGAGGTAGCATATCACCAACTCATGTTTTAACATGATTTTTATGGTTAGTATCCAAGAAGAATATAATGGTAAAAGTTCAAACGCCCTCTATAAGGCAATTACATCTTTACTTTTCATCAAAATTGTTAGCTTAGAAGTTTAAATATTTAAATTTAAAAGTACAATGCTTAGCTGTAATTAAAGATTTTTAGCAATCGTTATTTCCATCTGCTATTTATTGTTTAGTATTTTAATTTCTAAATACGCATTGTTATGTGATATTGGATTTCTATTATGCATCTAAAAATACATTAGCTATATTCATTCTTACCTGAAGTGTGGTTATCAGATGTCCTGCAACAGAACACATGCGTAAATTTACATATTTTTTTAGCCTATGTGAAGATTAAAAAGTGGATAAAACTATATATTACCAACTTAATTTGTTTCCAACTGTCGTTTTATATTTTATTAAATTGTAATTTAAAAAGCCAAAGTCAGATGTACGTAAAAGATGTATAGTTTGTGCACTATAGTTTTCATTTCACTCATTTTATTATGATTTGTTTTCATTGTATTATTCTACATCTATTAAGATTATGCAACAAACCAAATTCCACTATAGTAACAAAGTGTTGAAAAAATCTTATTATTTTTAAAGCAGTAAATTCTTTATTGCGTTACCCAAGAAGGGGAATTAAGAAATTAGAAAGGAAAAGGAAATCATTGTTGTAATGAAGTTTGGAGCCACAATAACGGTCAAATTTAACCTTTTTATTCTGAATTCTGGCTTTCTTGGTGACTGGAAACATAAAATGAACAACTGAACATTGCTGAGGGAAGTATAACGTATTAAACTAGTTTAGTCACCTAATATATTAGGTGCGCTTTGTTTTAATATAATTAGAATCGTTACATTTATAAAAGTGGTATAAATAATATAAATTGTCTTTAGCAGAAAAAATTGGAATGGATGCAATAAAAATTTATTAAAAGAGAAATTATAAAAATAATTTTAAAGATAGTTTTTATATTATGAAAGAGCTCAAGAATCTCTCTCCCATAAACATTTTAGGATAAAAGTCAAACTTCTAAAATCTCGTTGGTTCCGTCCAATCTAAGTTAGAAAGAAGCAATTGTCTGAAAGCTTTATTTAACTTGAAACCCGTCGACGTTATTATTTATTCATCAAACAATTGAGTAAATGCAGACTTTATCCTTCATTTATGACATTTCTTAATTTAATATTTAATTGTTTCAAAATTATATTTTGTTCTGCTAATTGTTGGCTGCAAGAATAAAGAATCAAATTACAAGTTGCTCTAGTTTTTAGCGTAATTTTCTGA